CCCCCCTCTTCGGACATCCAAGCCCAAAATTACCCCCCTCCCCTTCGGACATCCACTATTTCTAAATTTTTCTAAAGGCTACCTCGCCGTTTGAAATGTGTGTTCATACTACCGCCATTACAGTTTGTTTACAAATTGAATTAGCACTCGTGTAAACCCAAAATATTTCAAATAGACCCAAGAAATTTAACTGGCAAAGTTTTCCTGGCTTTGTTATATCACATTATACAACGCTAACAGCTTGAAAATTCCACACAACTATGTAATTTTTGTTAGTCTTGTTTAAGATAAATGCTTTTCCTTTAAAAATAAAGATAAAAGCCATATTTTCCACGCGAAGGCAACTTTTACATTGTGTAGCACGGCGCCATGTTTGTTTTGTTTTGTTTTGAAGCAATCTGTGACCGTTACTTCTTTAAACTAAATTGCTTTAAACTGATTGGTTGATTTAATCATCACAATGTTTTCCCACCAATCAGATCAGTTTGTTACAGATTTTTTGCACTGTGATTACAGAAAATTGCACTGTGATTACAAAAAATTGCACTGTGATTACAGAAAATTGCACTGCTGTTTGGGATTAACTGCACTGAAATCAACCAATCACAGTCGAGTAATATCTTTATGTGTATTATTAACGTATTAATAGTATACAAGAAAACGATATGCACTTCGATAACGCCTTCGTACTCATGCACCAACGCTGTTAAAAGCATTGCTTTTTTGTTTGTGGACAAATAGTTTCATTTGAAGTACTCCTTGTATACAATTCCATGGCAGGGGTTGACTGTGGAAAAATCATGGATTGTTGGAGTATAGTGAGACAATTTACAAATTTTCATCTCAATTAATTTGCTGCATGCGGCTGTTAAGATTTCTTGCGAGCGGTGCTTGCATGCTCGACTGTTTATTATCCATCTATCTGCAAGGCAACCACGTCCAATTTTTAATTGAAAGTGTATACAGTTATTTACAGGGTTCGAATTAACGGCTCGCTATTCGCAATTTGCGAACGCAAAATCATCCATTTTGCGAATGGCGTTTTGCAAAAACAATGTATTAAAGGTTGATTTTCACAATGACTTTGAATGTATTTTACTATAATTGAAGATATGGAGTATTCTGCTGATTATTATTGTAATTTTGTACTAAAAAGATGTGTGAAATGAAGAATTTCTTCAGAAAATTTACGAAATTCGCTACGAAACGACCGCCATTTTGTTTTTCGCAAGCAGTGTTTCCACTTATCAAAACTGAAATTTCCTTCAAATTTTCAAGATGGAAATTTGCGAATCGGTTTTCCTGTCTAATTCGAACCCTGAATACAGTTGAAAAATACTGGCAGCCACTGTACTTGAGAAATTTTTTCAGTCTTGGAACAGGAGTAATAATTCCCATGATGAAATCTTTAATGTGGTTTCCATTGTAGGTATAGCGATGAAAAATATATTTGGCCATTCGTCTCACCCTTCCAACTTCCTATACTCGCTATAGGCTAAGGTGCTCTCTCGAAACGTCGAAATTCTTGTTATATTTTTCTGGTTGTTTTAGTCCAGTGAGCTCTCTCTCTAATTATATACTTGGAGTAATATGTTCAATCATATCTTCAGAAAAGTGAAGCCATGCAAAATTACAGACATTGATGGCTATAGTGCCGATAAAGGTCGTAAACAGTTTTCATATGAATCCAGGTTTTCCCACGGATCACAATCGCTAATCAAATTATCAGTTCATAAAACCATAATATTATTCTATATATCGAAGTCAAAACACGCGTTTGTACTCCTTGCCGCCTCTTGTTAACCCTGCAGACAAGTACTGGACGTCAATTTCCGCCATCCACTGGCTTCTGCTTCACGTTTTTCCCGCGAGTACTTATTTAAAACTATCTGTCTTCTCTCCCGCGTAGTTTTTGTTTTGCTCAGAATAACATTTGTGCGCATTGCATGCATCAAACGAACTGTTTTCCATGCGAAATTTTACATTATTTCGTTTGCCCCACACGTGTTCTATCGTGGCAGAATGGCTCCCGTGAAAAGGAAAAAGTATTAAATGCAAATATTACAGTTTTACAAAAATGCACGCAGGGCATTAATACAGCAACTTTTAAAATACTGTAAGTGTACTTTCGAGGCCCAAACTAAAAGTTTCGCATGCAAAAAAAAATTACGATTCATATATACCACCCGCACAAATGATTTATGAGCAAAACAAAAAGTTTGATTGACAAACTTCGGAGAAGAAAGTTTTGAAACCTAGTTAAAATAACAAGCTTCACGGATTAAGCTCGCAAATGCAATATATATCGAGAGTTCACGTGCCTCAAGTATACTGATACATAATACATTCTATATATTCATACATAAGCAATGCACTTTTTTGTTATTCCTTATAGATTTGAGCGACGAATCAGTGCTTCACACTCTTCACTTAATTCATCCCAAACTTGAATATCAACTTCTTCTTGCTAAGAAAGTTCAACTTATTGACGCCCTGAAGGTATTACTTTAGAATATTCACTAAAATGGAGGCCATGGTTAGACTAGCCAATTTTTGTTGTATAAAATGTATAAAATTTACACTTGAACTTTCCATCTACAAAACCCTTCTACAATTCGTTCTATCGAGTGAGACGCCCCAAATCCTGACATTTATTTAGTATAGTTATGAACTTGCGGTTAGAGCTTGACAATTGGCCTCTGTAGCTCAGTTGTTTAGAGCGCTACACCGGAATCGCAGGGCCGCACAGGTTCGATTCTTATCAGAGGGCCTATATTTTCATTTTTCGCCACCGCTCCTGGTTATAGGTCTAACTAGAAATATATGCCTGCATGCAACAACCCCTCGCGTATATTTTCTTAAACATTGTTTCAACATGAAGTATTCTAAATTACGCCAACAATGAACGTGGGCTCGCGCTGCTCGCGTCATGTTAGCCATGGCGCGCAGCACGATCACTGTTTTTAAAATTTTCATTTTTTCGGTGCAAAAGAGCGAAAAATAAAATGAAAGTTAACACATTTAACTAACTATAGAGGTCCATTCGTTGACGATAGCCGACAGATCGAACCATTAGATGAATCTTTTCAGCTTACCAAAGACCTTATGTACTTCAACCTAGTATGCACAAAGACTGATTGACAAATATTCATTCGTCGTCAAATATACCTATAATCATATCACTTTTCCAATACTGTATTATTTAAGAAAAGATTGAAATTGAAATCAGACTACGGTAGAAATGCTAATGCATATGTTAGGCTGCGGTCACTTTGCAAAATCGAAAGGGGGGGGTGAATTTAGGTCGCCAGGTCGGCCACTATGATTTGATATAATAGGTGTAAACAGATGCGTACAGTATATTAAATGAGTACTGAATTATTTTCTGAATTCAACAGGAATTGGAAATGCATGAAAATGATATTGGTTTTCTTGCTCCAGAGTATAAACAAATCTTGGGTATGTTATATATATTGTATGCAGCAAATTCGATAAAAGAAAGGCAGTGTCTCACTGCTATAATATGTATAGTACAACTTGTTTCATTATTTACCATGTGCATGAAGCCACAAAATTTGGGAAGAACGTTTTCCAGTTTGCGTAAAGAATACACTATCTAAAAGAGAAAAAAATACACAACAGGCAACTGGGAACAGGGCCGCCGAGAGGGGGGGGGGGAAATTGCCCCGGGCCCCGAGGTGCTGGGGGCCCCTGAAATATTTTTGTTGGGCCCCAGTCTTTTTTGTGTGTTACAGTCAATTTCAGCTGACTTTTCATCGTAAGATTCCGAACTTCGTTCCGAACTTCGCAAATTCGTTGCCAAGTTCAAAAGTTCATAATGAAATTCACAAACAGGTTTGAAAACAAAGCCTCTGATTGGCTATTAAATCAAACCAACCAATCAAATGCTCAGTTTACAAACCTGTTTGTGAATTTCATTATGAACTTTTGAACTTGGCAACGAACTTGCGAAGTTCGGAACGAAGTTCGGAATCGTACGATGAAAAGTCAGCTGAAATTGACTGTAAATATTTCCGCGCAAAGGACAAGATATTTGTTTTCTTGAGCTAAGTACCGAAATTTGGCATTAAAAAATGAGATAAAGTCACTGGAAAGCAACAGCAACGCACTCGTCGGGAAAATTTTTTTACCCCTAAAATGGTATAGTGACCGAAAATGTTTTGGCGACGGGGGCAGGGGGAGATTGTTATCCGGAAAAAAATTTTTCCGGAAAATTTTTTTGGGATAGGGGGCCCCCAAAAAAATATTTGCCTCGGGCCCCCGCCAACCTCTTTGCGGCCCTGACTGGGAATGCTGCTGAAACACTTTGTAGCAGGTTTTTATTGTTAAAATCATTTGCGTTAAAGAGTTTTATTCATGAGATATTATTGTTTTGTGAAACCTCGACTTCGTCTTGGGAAATATTGAACCCCCTCGGGAAAACTCAGCCTAGACCTAGGCCTTCTAGTCTTATTTATATTTTTTTAATATTCAGCGCTTTTTCACATGAAAAGACTGGGACTAGATGATTTGGGGGCGGGGCTGAGGAAGCAAGCCTAGAAGGCCTAGTGGATTTCCCAACAACAAGGGCAAAACTGCCCTGAAACTGCCCTGGTTGCGAAATGCCCAATTATTGCGTTCTCGAACAGAATTATTTGCAACTTAACGGCGAATTTAAACCGATACAGGTAAAATAAACTCATTTATAGTATAAACTTACTATTTTTATTTGTATACACGTCTAGAAAATCGGGTTTTTTATCATAAAGTTCGAAGCAACACTTTAATATGTTGACAAGGTGTAGCGAAAGCACAAAATGAGTCAAAATATATACCAAAAGGCAAAAGTAGAATCTTTCATGAAATTTTGTCTTATACACAACTACATTAATATATATTTTCTCAATTTTGGCAAGAAGCAGTCTTGTGTTTGTAAAATATACAAAATAAAACGGATACATATATTATTAGCCCGTACAGTACTGTATATAAAAACGTACATTGTTTACAAATGGTATATCCGTAATATTTGAACAATAATTTCAAAATCCTCATTCCCAATTCGCAAATATAGTTATTCAAAGCAAAACAGTAGATTGTCTTGCGAATAAAAGAATTATTATTTTGTGCCGTTTCGCTACACCTTGTCAACATATATAAATAATGTTGCTTCAAACTTTATGATAAAAAACCCGATTTTCTAGACGTGTATACAAATAAAAATAGTAAGTTTATACTATAAATGAGTTTATTTTACCTGTATCGGTTTAAATTCGCTGTTAAGTTGCAAATAATTCTGTTTGAGAACGCAACAATTGGGCATTTCGCAATCAGGGCAGTTTCAGGGCAGTTTTGGCCTTGTTGTTGGGAAATCCACTAGGCCTTCTATTTTTTCGCTTGCGTCAGGCTTGTGTCCTTCCTCCGCCCCGCCCCCAAATCACCTAGTCCCAGTCTTTTCATGTCAAAAAGCGCTGAATATCAAAAATATATAAATAAAAATAGAAGGCCTAGGTCTAGGCTGGGGAAAACTATTTGTTTTCTTTAGGAAGTGTACAATATTTTGCGTTGTGTTTTTTAAAGTTCAAGAATAAAACAGTTCACTTCCTACTTGTCCTCTTTCTTTTTTGCTATTTGGTATGATAATAAATCACGTGTTACTGTATTATCTCAGGAATGTAGTATGTTTTGCCTTCCCGATGACAAGCCATACTGTTTTTCTCCATCGCAGAAAATATCATTTAATACATAAAAAAATGTACATGTATTGGTTTTTGTTTGTTAACAGATGAAAACGAGAAGCTACAAGAGGAATACAAGAAACAACCTTGTCATTTGGAAAGACTTTACGGTTCGGATACTTTTACCTAGTATTTTCTTTTGTATTCCCTTTTCTGTTGCGATAAAAATATGTTCGAAAAACGTCGTTCAGCCATCTTGATTTTTTCTGATAAATGCTTCCGCATCGGGGTGCGGCAGCCCTCCCAGTTTGTTGGGCAAACAAAGCCAGTCGGGCAATATTCGCTTCACATTCGGGCAATATTGGGTTATTATAAAAATAAATGGGACAAATTATGTCAATTTTGTGGGAAATTCTGTAAATTTTGTGGTAAATTTTGTGATGTCTGGAAAATTTATTTGATGTTACGAAAAATTTTGGTATGTATGAAAAATTTTTGGACCCCTAAAATGTTACACTGACCGAATTTTTTTGGCGACGGGGAGGGGGTTGAGGTCGCCAAAATTAATTTGTTCCGGAAAAAAAATTTTCGGCACTGGTCGGGCACAATCCGAGAAAGTCGGGCAAATTCCTTTCCGCCCCCCTAATTTTTTTCCTTCCGGTACGCCCATGTATAAAACTACGTATCGGGGGCTCAATCTGGAGATAACTAAGTTATCTGATCGCATATGGTCCTATATTTAATCATAATCTCTTGTCCAATCAGAGCATATACGTATTGCAATGTCTAATAAATGCTATTAATAGTCTTCAAATTTATATTTGTTTACAATGCATTTCTCGTTTTAGGGATGGTGACCGATTTGTATATAGATAAATATAAATTTATGGTATGTACAACATAACAACGCATTAACGCTGCGCCTTACTCAAAAGGTTTACACAGCTTAAAGCATATAATAACAAAATAGGTACGCATTGCGTACATGTACAGCAAGAGGCGAGATACACGAGATAATAGCAGACTGAGCAACAGTAACTACTAACTGGACAAAGCAACTCCTGATTTGTTGAAGGGCCTTTAACTGTGTATGTGTATTTGTAAGAAACTTTGCGATAATGCTACTGTCTGTATTGATTTGAATATTTGATACCGTTGATTTATAGACAAAGTGTGCTTTGAATATTTAGACACTCAGAAAGCCCGGAAATGCAACAAAAATTTGGCATTCTTAGTTTGCTTCCCTTTTAACTTCCACGGTTGCCAGTCAATGCTGTTATAATTTACCTGAAAATCAAAAAGAATCACCTAGAAATTTACCTGAAATTACTCATGAACAAATATTTGGGGTATTACACCCCTCTTCCATAGGTCGCTAGCGTTCCTGAGCGCATATACACCTTATCATGTCTATCCCAATTATTTCTTGCACACACGAAAACGATCTACAGGCCAGGAACAGGTAGTGACCATTTTCCTCCATATATTAATCCAGACAAAATCCCTTTACAAGAATCACGAATACTACAGTATATACAGTATATGAACAAACCTGCGTGACCATTCGTGTCCAATATTAACGAAAGGACTTACATATACTGTATGACCTGACGTGGCGACTTGCTCACGCCGTTGCATGTCAATTGCTGACGTCATTAGAAATACCAATTTCTAAAAAGCAGTGCGCTATTTTGTCCGGTGACTTATCTTGAAATTTTGCACACTGTATTCTACTGCCACAGAGTTTTTTATATTTTTCTTATTGTTAGTCTAAAATAGCGCACGAAAAAAATATTAGGGTCACCGTGCTTCTTTTCCAACTACACAAATTATATACACCTAACGTTTTTGAAACCTGTATCGAGCCACCTTACTGGAGTTCGATTTATGGAGTAGGCCTTTATAAGTAGGGCTTCATATGGCTGAAATAATAATTTTATGGGCGTAACACTCGTACCAAGCGATTTATGTGCAATTTATCGAACGGTCTCTTATTCTAAAACATTTTTATAGGGTATGAACGTAAAAAGCAAAGTTCCGAACCTTCTGGAAGTTTTGGACAACTATGATCTAGCAAGCTTGATTGAATTTTTTGAAACCTGAACGACGATTTCCTTTTGGCTATATCATTGTGAGTGTATATGTATATGTACAGTATGGTATTTATGTATTGTAAATAGTAAATTCAACGTCCAATTCCCTTGTGTGGCAATATTTTGTTTTCCTTACTGTCGATGCAATGGAAATGTTGATAAAATATTCCATGAATTCATTTCCTCAAGTTGATCAATTCGTACGAATTCAAATTTCTTTTTACTTCCTGTGCGTTTCCTATTGGTCAATCGGTTCGGAAACGAAATCTAATTGGCTCATCTAGAAGTAACAGGAAGTTGATCAATTTTCTATCAAATGAATTGATCAACTTGAGGAAAGGAATTGGTGCAATATTTTATCAACACTTCTATTGCATTGACAGTAACTTTGACAAATTTTATTGATTTCGTTCCTGTGGCAAAAATATAGACTTGGAAAAACAAGTCGTCAAGTCTCCTTATGTCAACACTAATCATGCTACAATTTTTGTCTTCAGAAAAAGGAAACCTTTGTGCGACTTGTTTTTGGGTACAGGCTTACTCCAGTAGGACTGGATATAGCCAGGATGTCAGGCTCTATGCTTGAAATAGAGCCTGCTACTGAAGTCAATAAAAAGTAGATTTATGCGTACGAATTGTACACAAAATTCCCATTGGTCAGAAATAAATAGCCTTGCCTTTTAAGGTAATATCAATTTGTTGTTTACGTAATATGATATTCCGTACTTGTAATTTTGGCCGCATTAATTACTTTGCTGTCTATAAACACGGTCAATAACCGTTATTAATGATTTAATATGTATAATTCCTGCATGGCCGTTTAATGAAAATTGGAATATTTATTTTCGAGATCTTGACGGAAAAATTGTCCGTCATTGTCATATTTTAAATTAGCTTTGATAATCGAATTAACAATCGCCGCTTTGATTGGTTGTTATTTTCGTGCATCCAAATCACTGTCCACTTTTTATTGACATCAGTAGCAGGCTTATATCAAGCATAGCCTGACACGCAGGCTAGACTGGATACTGCATCCGCTATGCACTAATGAAGTCAATGGCGCCTTTTGTGCGACGTGTTAGAAGAGGTTCTAACACGTTCTTATTGGTGGGAAAGAAGAAATATTGTCTAAACTTGAAAGTGAATAACTAATGAGGTCACGCCAATATGGCTGCCACGAGTCTCGTTGTCTGGTGTTCAAAACGTTCTAAAACTCAATAGAAAATGCGTGACATGCTATAGTATATATAATATATATACCGATATGTGATTCGAAAGAAAAGCGACGATACTTGCGTTAATCCAAAAGTAAAACATCGTATTCACAAAGGTATATAGCAAGTTTTACATTCTCAACTTGAAGGCTTCTAATTTTCGGTATAATATATCATTTATATACCCTCCGTTTCGGGGGATTCGGCGAAATATTACCCGAAGTGATGATATATCACTTCGAGTAATATTTCGCCGAATCCCCCTCACTCCAGGTCTATAAATGATAAATATCTGTCAAATCACATATAGCAAACGACATCTGCATGCGTAATAGTAAAACTAATTTCAACACATGATGCATGATTCGATTTTTAAAGGATATTATACAAATATAAATATTTCTCCTCATTAAAAATCTTCTGGCTTTATAATCAAAAGGACGTTTTATCCAGTGAGATCCAGTCCTAGTTTGTAGATCAGAAGCCCATGCAACGCACAGCCTCGGTTAGCAGTTCGAGGTTACAGATTCTGGCAGTAAAAATTACTGCGTCAACTGAAACAGCCAGCTATACCCGGGCTAGCCTCATGTTGGACTCTGACATTTTTCCAGAGCTTTATACATTGCGAACTATCAAGCTGCAAAGAAAGCAACAATAGCTGGACTTATCAAGGGCGACATATACACGAGTAAAATGGAACTCGCCGAATAAATTCTCAGGCTATTTTTCACCTGCACGAGCATGGTAAACTTTCTAGCATGTTTCCTTGGCGAGTTTCAGTATTCCGTTTGTATAAACTTTCTAGCATGTTTCCTTGGCGAGTTTCAGTATTCCGTTTGTATATAGAGATTTAAATACCTGCAAAACAATGCAGTCGTCCAGAATACGAAATATTTTAAAGCTAATTATTATTTGGGATGGGAAATTATAAGGGATGAATGTTCTCGCTATTTTTTAATCAAATTTTAAAGTTATACTAAAAAACCCTGAAAAGAGTAAGTGACGTGTCCTATAACTTACATAATCTTACTTGAACAAAAATAGAATCTTACTTAAAACGTAAATAGAACATGCATGCATGCCATCCTATATTTAGCAACACAATATGTTTCTATACCTTACAATCGCATGAATTAATTAAGGAGGTACCTTCATACGTGCGTATACAAAAGCCGAAACGCATGCTTGCATGCATGCATGTGGTATTCCGGTAACTTCGGTCCAGAATGAAAACCGGATACCTAAGTTAAAAACCCTCAAGCAAGATGAACGAATCGTGTGAAAAAAATTACATGCATATATATGCAGCTATCTCATTCGTGCATGTAGTCCTCTGAAGGACAAAATTCAAACTCGATCAAATAGAATTGTACAGCATTCTCTTTAATTCTTCACAACTTTCATGCCACATTCAAATCCAGGTAAATCTAAGCCCAAATGTGCTTTCTACGCTTAGAGTTTCAAGTTTTGTAGTTTTGACCTTCGGAGGATAAATGTAAAATATATTCTCTTGCTTAATCAGTTTTTCTTTAACAAACTCTTCACAGAAGACATTGAATGATTCTTCATACTTGCGTTCATGCTTTTCACCTTCCTTGTCATTTAATTGAGTACTGTCATTGTGGCTGTATACCGAAGAAATGATGTGTACTTTTCATAACAACGTTTATAGTATTTCACTTCCAATGCTACTAGGTCCTTATCAGCACTTTGAATCAAAATATTTTCATACGCTTTAACTTCCCAAATAATGTGAAACCCTTGACTTTCATGGTCTTTCCCTAGCTAACGCTCCGATCAAACGAGGATGAGAGTTAACGAAAGTTGATGAGTGTTCCAACTATCGCTCGCGTTTGATCGCCAAATCTCATCGACTGTCATGCACTCTCACCAACCCTTATGCTAGGCTTATCAACTTTGAAGTTGTAAGTTTTGATGAGAGTTTTTGCTCGTTTCATCGGTAATATACAATCAATCTCTTCAACTCTCGCGCTACTGTTGTTCTCGTTTGACCGGGGCATGCGAGTCTCGCTTCTCAACTCTCATCCTCGTTTGACCGTGGCTTATGTGCATGATACTGTATTGGGTTCCCTCAACCTCTTTCCCAGGGCTTTGTGGTTGGATGCGCGGCGAGAGAAACTTGCATGTATTATTGGATTGGGGTGCATCATGAGGGTATTTGATCCCGATATGTATTTGACTGCAGCTTATCGTCGTTGCATCTACTTCTATATGTGAACGTGGAGTGCTTGACTGCCTGCATAGGGAAAGTCAAATTTTGGCTGGGCGTTTCTCCTGCATGCCCGACGGTTTCCATAAATTTATTTATGTTTTTCGTGTTCCTTATAAAAATACGTTAAAGCTCACGGTGGCTTTTCGAAGGAAGGGACCAGAGCGTTGTCTGATTGTCTTGAGTCCGGAAGGTGTAGCCCCATGCAGAAAAGCCGTCAGGTGTTCCTGAGATCAAGTTGGGATTCCTGGACCCCCTCCCCCAATCATCGGATGTTTTCGTGGGTTGTAATTACTTTGAATAAAGCCTGCGTCGTCAAGATTTTCAGGCGAAACTGTCATTGTTAAAAGTTGAAAATTTTCAACTTTTTCAAAATTTTCCGCAGAAAGATTTTGTAAATGTGATTGGCCGACACAAATTTTCCGTCGGAAAAAACATTTGTTTCGGCCAATCACATTTTACAAAATCTTTCTGCGGAAAATTTTCCTGAGTGGAAGTGGGCCTTTGCATTTATAACTGAAAATTAAGCTACGTCCACACTAATGCGTTTTCGTATAGTTCTCTGGGAGAATAATGATGTAATTAATTACCCGAAGCAACTATATGAAAACGGATTAGTGTGAACGTAATCTTTTACGGTCTGAGCCAGTGTAGGTTGTGCTAATACTATAACAAAACTTCGGTTGATAGGGATGCAACTACCTGAAAAATACAAGGAGAAATTCGACACTTCGAGCGAAGGCCCTTCATTGGGAAGTTATAGTGGGGTCTTCGCTCGAAACGAAGCTCTCCTTGTATTTTTCAGGTAGTTGCATCCCTATCAACCGAAGTTTTGTTATTAGTGCGTATCCTTATATTAGTTGAGAGAAAAGAATGACCTTCGGGAGTCGAGATTTTCGGCCGTTCCCAAGACCGATCTAATATTCTTGTAATGAATTTTGCCTAAGGCAAATCCTCGCGTCGCATGCAAGGGCAAGGTCATCGTTTTGTAGTTTTCAAAGTCACGACACGAATACAACTTCCTTTCAAATCAATATATTCCATATTACGAACGACAAAAGCTTGCATATATAATACATTTTCCTTTGACATTCTATTTAAATTTACTGTTCTATTCCAAGCAGCTTTACAAATGTTTCGAATATAATAATATTGAGTAGCCGTTTGTTTCGTATGTATAAGTACGCTATAAATATATGAAATTTACTATGCAGTCCTATTAATATTGCTGTACATAGAAACAGCCAATTCTTAAAGTAAAGTTTATACACATATTACAAAATCTTAAGTAGCGTCAAAGAGATCATTACTAATATTATGCCTTATATAGTTTTGCCTTTGCTAATTACATTGTCATTGGCAGTCTGATTGCACACTACAGTTTTAATATATTTGGTTGAGTCTTAAGACTGCATCAAAATCCTCATTGAGGCCTTAATATACATTTTTTTATGAATGCAAGTTATATTTAAAAGACAATTTCTAGTTACATACTTGGCCTTAATATACTTTTTTTATGAATGCAATTTATACGTAAAAGACAATTTCTATAGTTACATACTTGAGAATGTAATCTGATATGCATGCAGCAATGTGGCTAGCTATGTAACCATAGCCATTGGTTGCGCAGTTTTAAAATACTGATACCCTGCTAAACCTTACAAATAATCGTTGTAAAATATACTTTGCATGCGTATGTAAAAGTTGTTTAATTTGTAAGCCATGTGGCATGTTAATATTTTTGTAATACTGAAAATATTAATCAATGTCTGTATCGATACAGTGTGCTCCGCAAAAAATGCAATAGCTTTGTTCCAGTTATCAGCGCGAACGTCGAAAATTTAATCCAAGAGAAGAAGTCTGGCATGATGAACCCAATAGGGCATTGAAATCATGCATCAGTTGTGTTTAGCATACTAATAGTTTGGTGACCATTAACATTAAACAGCCATGACATGGCTCCAGTATATTATAGTCTTGTGTCAAAATTCATTTCTTAAATTAAATTTTCAATGCCCTTTAAGAGTTTTTCTGTTAAATGTATACGAATTTACAACCGTTATTTATATTGATAACATTTCCTCAATACTATATAAATTGCATTTTGCGTTACTGTTTGCATTCTATAATATATTATTAATTTAATGATTTGCTTGACAATAGAGAAAAAGGTTTATTATATAACGTTCATATGTCATCGCGGGTGACTATATACAATGGGATACTATACTAAACTATTCTTAAAATATTGGGGGATTGTGTTAATACGACACGAAATCAACCATATATGCACAGATCGAGAGGTCACCTGCCTACCTTATGGACTCTTTTAAAAATGTAAGAGTCTAACAACTTTCTCTTTTTTAAGACCTGGAAATTCCTTAAATCTCCATAGAGCCACATAAAATGTGCTTATCAGTTTCATGATGTATTAAGACTAAAAAACGATCTGAAAAATTTGTAGTTTCGAGTAAAGGACGGTTAGAGTCTTGTTTAGTTTTACTGTCAAAGTTTTTTGGTCAAATTATTTTTTTCAAAGTGTGATGTAAATCTTGTTTAGGATTTTCTGTACCCCTTTGGCTTTTTATGCCTTTGACCAAAACACTTTAATTTAATTGTGTATAACCCAACCTGTCTGCGCTATATTCGGTTTTTTGCCTGGCATTAAAAATATTATCAGTGATGATATATTATGGTATATATATGCATACATCTTAAAAATGTCTATAATTATGTTTAGGATCATGGATATAACATTTTATCCGGCACCCTTCATTTATATTAATATTATGTATAATGCGGAGCTGCACACATTTAGTCTTACACGCATATATTGTATAGTTTCACAATTATCACTTGTGCGTGTTAGCAACTGGGTTGTCTTCAGATGACTTGAATGAGGCTGAATACCAACTGGCGTTTTCGTGATATTCTGCACCACATTATTCCATTTATGCGACATTAATACGACGACATGATCATGAACCAGGAGTCTAACTGCCACCCGCGAGAATGTTTACCTTTCTTTAATTTGTCATTGTGACGAAATCCCAGCAACCAATTATACCTTTCGCATTGGAGGTTCACATATTTCCTTAATTTCCATATCCGAAGCGCTTTGTCCTTTTTCGGTTGTGGTGGCCGAGGAGTCAAAAACACACTCATGAATGACTTGTTAGGCTAGAAATGATTAAAAGTAAATAAGATCACGCATTTGTTATAGATTCAGAGAGGAAGCGGACGAATTCACCTGACGCTCCCAAATCTGTAGATGCAAATGTTCGTACGGTCCAAACCCAAAATCCTGATATTTGCCCATACACCGTACATTGGCATACTCTTAGTATATTTATCCATGAACTTGTGATTAGAGCTCGACAGCTGTCTCTCTGTAGCTTGCTTGGTCAGAGCGCTGCACCGGAATCGCATGCAGGGTCGCAGGTTCGATTCCTGCTAGTGGGCCTCTGTTTTTCCACTTCAACTATATAAAATGTTCCTTTTTTATCTTTTATGTCATTACTCATTATAGTTCTGTTTTAGTGCTCCCATTTTAAAAATACACTTCATTTTCATTTGTTACGATTCAATCGAACTGGGAAGTACAGGCTTTAGTAAATAACCTATACTATAGTCTACAGTGAACTATTGACATTATTGCAGCTAGAAGAGCAATGTTCATTCTGGAGACTTTCCGCGTAGCTTGCTATAGCATACGTCATTATATAGTTTGTGCACAAATGCACAATTAAAAAAAAATCAATAAACACGAAGCACATGCATTCGCAAGAAAACTTTTTCAACTTAATTAAAGCAGTGTCCAATACTATACAGATAATTCTACTTGTACGTGTCTGAGATCCCCTTACAAGAACCTTTCTTCATTCAACGCAATGAAATTTCAGTCGTGCTGCTTTTCAAATCATTGAAAGGATCTTGAAATGATTGAATGAAAATTAAATCATTTAATTCCAATCATGGTAAAAACATTCCATTGAAGTGGACCTATTCAACTTTTTACGATAAAAAGCAGGTTGATCGAAAGAACATCAGTTGTTAAGTTAAGAACTTCAGTACAAACGAACTTACCGCAGCGAGGAATCTCCCATTTTTACTTTTGCTGCACGTCAAGTACTGCTTGCTCTTTTCTCCCTTGATCAGTATTTTGACAGTTCTACCAAACCCAACCATTTCCACTGTGATATTGGCTGGAAAAAAATGAAAGGTTCAATGAGAGGAGTCATGCATATATATAAGAAAATAAAGCCAGATTATAGTAAAGCTAAACAAAGCCACGACCATGCAGGCAACAATTTCAGAAAGAATAATGTCAAGATTCGAATTAAAACAAGAGCTTTTGAAACTGTAAAGTTTCGACTTTATTTAATTTATAGCCATCATGAATTGAAGATGACATTATTCTTGGCAATTTGTTCTTTTTATAGTAAAGTATCAACCCAAACAACATACATTTGTTTCGACAAAGCAAAGCCAAAGGGATTTTTTCTTCATTATCAGAAAATGTCATGTTCTTTTTTTTAGTTTGTGAGTAACATTAAGTGTTAAACTTAGCAGTCAGTTTTGATGCGGTTCAGAAAGGAACCGAACGAATTTTAAAATATACGATAATTTAATTTAATTAATGAACTACCAGTCACTTGCATGATCTCAATATATGATTGCTGAGCGCGCAAAGCACACTGGAAGATTGTAAAATTAATTATGCAAATAACATGTCATCAAATACTTTGCTTTTGAGTACCAGAAAATTTAGTAAGAAAAATACGACGTAGAATTCAATATTTGAATCAAACAAAAAGATTATTGTCGACACCGTCTCAATTCTCATTGTTAAATTTCCCTATATATTTCCTTCGGAATTTGTTTTTTCGCTGTTATTTGCCGAGAAGACTTGTATATTTTTGAGTACCCATATACAAGGGGCAAAATATTAATTTACATGTGAAGATCATGCATATGTTAGGTTTAAGGCTGAATTTGAGGGTTTTGGTAGTTTCTTTATAATTTCTGAAAAATACCAGATATGGGAGTTTGTAATACTAGATTCCGGAATATGCATTGCTTTGAGGATATTTGCGTCAGTTTCTGACGTGTATTTATCAAAGAGCAATATACTCGTACACCTTCATGAGCGAGTTTTCAAAAGCCCTGGAAAATGATTACGTCGTATCTGACATTGACTCCATCATAGTTGTACCAGGTCTAAAACTGTACTGCATAAATTTTCGCTCGAAATTTGCATCTACAAAAACGCATTTATTTCTATCGAGCGAGATTCGCAAAATCTTGAATATTTACCCGGCATACACCTTACACTGACATTCCCTTAGTATATATGGAAGAACTTGTGGTTATTTTAATGCTCCACAACTGGACTCTCTATTTTTCTCAACTGCTCCCGCGGATAGGCCTGAAATTAATCATAAATTTTCGCTCAAATTTCTCTCTATCGTATCGTATCGTATAGTTCCGAATTTCGGTCTGCCAAGTTGAAACGATTTGACATGCATTGGTCGATTTCTCGGTTAGACGAAATACATTGGTTACAATGCCACACCTTAGGTCCTCGTTATTTGCTTAAGATTTGGAAGAAAAAACTATCCAAACAAGATGCCTGACCCAAGTCGAATTAGAAACCGAAAAATTATTTTAATCATGCAAAATTCGATGTCTTTTAATTAAGAGTTTTTTATGTATAGGTAATATGGTTTCGAGTGCAAATTGGAAAAAAACATGCACGAATGAATTTTTCAAAGACGATCAAAATTGCACGAGTCCAAAGGACGAATATAAATGCAAAACGTAAAAATATAATATACACCATTTGGTTATGACTACATTCAAAATTTTAAACTTTTTATCCGTTTCTCCATCGGCAAACACACTTAGAAAGTATGTTTAGTGTGATATCCGTAAAATAATGCTAAAATAAAGAGATTTATTTTAGACGGTACGCAAAAAGGGGAAACGTCCGAACGGCAGTAGGTACGTTTTGCTTATATGTCGCTGTAAATATAGGCGTCAATTTTAAAGTATCATTGACAATTGTAATCTAAGTTTCGCTTTTTACTATCATTTTCAGTTTCTCAACCACCAGATGATGCATGTAAATGGTAGCTAACTGTATAAACTAGAAATTAAAGCTATAAAACACAGTAATTTTGCGAGTTATGCCTAAAAGATTTTGGGTTTTTGAACACTTTTCTTGTCAAACACGCGAAATTGTTTCTTACGTAGATGTATCATTGTCTTACCATAAGGGCTGGTGTCGTCTCTTGTACCGTTCGCTGTTCCATCTGGAAAGATTTGCAAGAACACTCCGTTGGCAGAAACGATTTTCTGATTTCGGTACACAATTGATGGTATCAAAGTGTACGTGTAGTCTAAAGCTGCTTCCATTCTGCTGGGAGAGAGGCCAAATGGTGACTTCATTTGAGCTTCCATGATCTTTCGTCGTATATTGATGTCATCTATCTTGTGTTGAAGTTTCGTTAACATCTTATTTAACTTCTTCAACCCTCCAAATCCGCTGTTAGTGTCTTGAACACTTTCTGTCAGGCCAGATGTTGGTTTATAAGCCTCGATAATAGGAGGTGGCGGTGCCACAATTTGCTGAAGTTGGATTAACACACAACAACAAGTGAAACTAAGGAATCCAAATCGAGCCATTATCGTGTCTTCACCTTACGATCTGTCAATATGAAACATTTGAAATATTAGCAGTTTGCCTGATTTTAGTGTATTATATTGGAGATTAACAATATCGAGAGGTGTATTATAAAAAACCACTTAGCATCTTAGTGGATATTGTCTTGGTGCCGTGAATTTAATAAAAAAAAACAAGTTAGTTTTACATTTTCCGGATAAAGTCAACCATTCTTCCTTTATTTTGAAGGTATTTTAAATGAACGCAAGTTCATGGAGTTGAGATGCACTTCGTTTGTCGTGGTATTTTATAGAGAGTATTCGCTGAGTCGAATTTAAATTGCGCGACAGACGTTTTACAATACATTGTAGAACATTAAAGCCGTTATTACACTAGTATTTTAAATCAACGTATTAACTGATATCGTAATATTAACTAAAGCACGCATGTACCTACTTTATCTTTGATACCAAATTGTGAATAGAATTAACTTTGTTCTGGATGAGGATGTGATACGAGCGATGTTACCTGATCTCGGCGAAGGCAATTTTGAAGTTTAATATCGACTTCAAATCCTTTTATACGCGAAGTGATTTTGAAAGAAGTCGCCTGATTCTCGTGGGAGCGTTTCCGGTCTCTGTTCCGTTAATTTCCGGCGATGCTTTCAAAAAGTTCATAACGCAAATGTCACCTAACTCACGGCACTAAAGTTATCGGAATAACAATGGGGGTCAAGACATCTGAGATCTTTACAAACAAGTAAAAAACATTGAAAATTCTTATAATCTGTGTGTTCTTGCTCTTCTATCAAAAATAGTAGGGACTATCAAACCAAATATAATCTAACTTATGGTACTACGTATCATAACTCATTAAATAACCCATAGCAATGGGGGGCAAGACTTCTGAGGCTTTTATATTACAAACAAGTCGAAAAGATTATTACAAATTCCCCAAATTATCAGTGAATAGAAAGCAAATGCCATCCACAACCGAGGGTAATAATTACGTTTCATAAAAATCATCGTATAGCAATGGTGGCAAGACATTACTCATTAAAGAAATTTACAAATAAGTGGAGAGCACTATTGCTGGAAACATATTCCTCCATCTCTGTCACTGTGTCCCCTCCAAGCAACTGTCACCTAACTGGCGGTACTAAATACGTTTCACAAACCGTCGTCATTATATAACAATGGGTGGACGGGTGGTATGGAATTCAAGGGTTTTACAAACAAGTCGAAATCATTGTTATAAATCCCGAAGTTCTGTGTTCTCTATCTTATGTCAAAAAGTGGAAAAGATTCTCGGCTTTCTAAATACGCACATTACGTTTACTATATTGAATATAACACAAGAGTGTGCGAAGTTTTATTGAGGGAGGAGTGAATTGCATTTAGCAACTGTAATAAAGTCGGTCAATAATAGCAATATTGTTCGGGTCCAAGTTATTTTTATACAGCGTTATCAACAAAATAGGTGTAAACTTGACTTTGTCTCGCGTTGGCTATTAATTTTCTTTCAGCTTAATTGCTCAGTACCACCCACCGACACCATTTCAATAGAATTTCTACGCAGAAGTGTTATTTTGTGTTAGAGAACAGAGAAACGACAAACAGTGGACGTAAAAGTCTCACCATGTGCCCATTCTCAGCTAATTAGAGCCTGCTGTGCGAAGACAATACAAAAGGGGAGGCCGTAAATTTGTCTTTTACATCCAAACATGTTTCCTGCCCTTTGTTAACCTCAAAAACAGCCACAAAATTGTATCTGTGGCTTTCGTATTTCAATTCTCACTTTTCATGTCGTAGCCAAACATGACCTAGCCATATTTTTCCATGTTGAACACTTAAGTTTTAAGTAGGACACAAGTGGATTTCAAGGGCTCTCATAACGCGTACCTATGTCCGTTTTGATGTCCGGTTAAGGGTAGTCTTTAGAGCAAGGCGGTTTCGAATTTGGTGAATTTTGCCATAAATGACCATGGGTACAGCGTCTTTTAAACTATTAAATATATTGCATAATTGATGTGTTTTCAAGAACTTTCCTCTGTTTTCAAGCCAACAGGTGATTCCCTGAAGGCTCATAATTTTACAAAGTAATTGCCAAACTCCTTGTTGGCCAATTCACATCATTCGTGGACAAAAATAACTTGGCTAAAGCGGCTCTTCACCACGGGCAGTATACGTTGATGAATTTCAGTTCCGCAATTATGTTTTTTTTAATTAAATACACTCTTATGAGATCCGTAGTTAGCGACAAAAACGTTCGTAAAGACTATATCCTACCAGAAATTGCTGTCTAATTTGTACAAGTCGTACGGCGACCGAATATCGGTAATGTCGCCAAAGTATGCAGTAACTTACAGTAAACATGAAAATTATATCAAGTTTAGACTATATTATATGATATGATTAGCACAACTTTTCTTTCATAGTCCAAAATCATTACTTGCCAATTGCAATACCTTCCTCAAATTTGATACGAAGAAAATTTCATCTCCGAATAGAATTTTCATCTTCAAACACAAAATTTGAGAAATTATTTTGATAAAATTTCGCACAATCGGCGTCGACAGTATAGGTAAAGACGATAACAGAAAGCTACGTTGTGAAGAATATACAACTAGGCCTACCTAAAAATATAAGCAAACCTTCGACGTTTGGAACAAATTAAGGCCCTTCGTCGGAAAGTTAGTATAGGGCCTCCGCTTGAAAGGCCTTCGCCAGAAACGTCGACGTTCTGTTTATATTTTTCAGCCTTCGGGTAGTTGTAGCTATATCCTTCATACCGGAGCTTTCTGATTTTATTCGGAGTATTTTTCTTACTAAATTCCTGAATAGTAGAATCTTGATAGAGCGGCACTTATTCAATACACTTTTGGCAATGCAATTCTACATTTAATTATCTTTTTCTTTGTAACAAACTAAAAAGCCAAAAATGTCGGTGGGTCATTGGTATAGCTATAGCTCAACAAAGACCTGTGTGCAAGTACCTTTTAATCTATGATAATGAAATGTCATTAATCATGATCTTTTTTAATCTTGTAGGCAAACAAATTAGTTGCCATTAACATGTAAATTTTCTTTTGAGAAAAGAACATAAATCATATATAGCATATACTATGTTATAGGAATATTAGCCTAAAATCATATTAGGAAAACAAGAGAGAGAGAGAGAGCGCATGTAAAAAGCCTGATTCGAGTTAAGATTATATTTAAAGCTGAAACTAAGAGTAAATGATTGGATTAATACTTTTGAGAACATATTTCATATTCAGAGACAGAGGAAAAAGCCAAAATAAAATGAAAGCGGTCAGCCAAAAGCAAAGCCAAAGGATTAACTGATGATAAATTCCGCGATGGTTGATGCACGTAGTAGACATGAGGTTTTAATAAGATCGATCAATATTGGAAATAGTTTTGCATGTATTTTGAATTCGGTGATCAAACGTTTCGCAACCTTTAGAAATTTTACATAGAACCCAAATTATAACGGTTATTATACGAGTTGATTTAAACAAGGATAGCGGCGTAACTTAATAATGCATGTCAATGATCGAGATAGGTGCCTTCAGTAAAAGTCAGTGTCAGTGAGTGACACATGCATGCAGGTCATAGACGCATCGCAAACTGCCGTCAGTAAGTTGCCTGAACTACCTCAAAAAGAACTCGAGCTCTTGACATATTTTTCGACCATTCGGCTTCACAGACACTCGAAACGTTAAGAGGTAGTTTCGCGATCGATTCAGGTAGTTCAGACACAAATCCACGCCAGCTCATGTGTTTTAATAATTATGAAGAACCTACACTGAACGCTAACATTTGCGAGTGACCTGATATGCATTGGCATTGCTAAATGATGATTTGTATGTGGAACGTTCAAAGAGTTTGTATAGCGATGCAATTACCTGAAAAATACAAGGAGAAATTCGACTCAGTTCGAGCGAAAGCCCTTCGTTGGGAAGTTAGCAGCCTTGTCAACAAGTTGTAACAATGTTGTCATTTGATCAAGTTGCTACAAGATTGTCACCCGCAACTTTTTAGCAAGCTGTTGAATTGTAGGACTATAACAAGTTGTGGAAACAACTTGTAACAAGTCTTTGAGTCATCAATCTTGTGACCCTTACAGCAAAGTATCAAAAATCTGTTGGTAACTAGGAAGAAGCAGTACGAACGCACCCAGATAACAAGTTGTTGAAAAAGCCGATTGGTACAAGTCTGATGCAGGTTTGTTACAAGTTGTGCGTTTTTAGGTGTGTACACGCGACAATCGATGTTTACTAATTTTGTTCACGAAGGCAAATTGTGTGGATATGATCAATTGATATGCTAATGTTATGTGCATTTACTTGATACACACAAATTTTAAGAGGACAATACATGAAGTTTTATCTTATAATTTACAACAAACTTACCAGTCTATGTGGCTCATCAAAAGAGATGCCTCCGCTAGCTTTTCTTGAGAAGATGACGGCACGAATTGAACATACAGAATAACGCCTTTAAGGCATTACCAACGACCATAAAAAAATGCTTGGTTCCTTGACAATTTCCTGCGGAGCTCTATATATTCCTTTGTTTGCAGACTATAGCCAAGAATACGTATAGTGCTCACATGTCCCTTTTTGGTTTTCTTGTGTTTACAAGTTCTAAGTTTATATTTTTATTTTCAGATAATTCGCTATAGTCCACAGGCACTGCACTTTTCCAACGTTAAGCGAAACAATTTTTGTTTTTGACTATAGCGTAAACTGTCAAATGAAATGTTATTTGATCTAATCTTTCATTGTTGATCTAATGTCCCATAATCCCATTGATCTAATTAATCTTTCCACTGAACATATATATGTGAGTGTTTACAAAGAAAGTATGAATTAAAAGGGTGGACGAGTGTGTATATATATGCGTGGCATACAGTATAAAGACTCGAGTCATCGCCGACGACTTGGACTCGAGTCGCGATTTTTGCGTGTGGCTTGGCTTTTTAATCAGATTAACGACTTGTGACTTGGCACGTAAATTGGACTCCAGCATTGGACTTGTGACTTGGAAGAAATGACTTGTTACCAACACAAGTCAATATCAGAAATATCTAGTGAAAATTAACCTTTCTACTTGGATATTCATCGACGCACAGTGGAGCTTGTAATGAATATTATATTATCATTAATATATAACTGTCATTAATGATTCCCCAGTTCACGTCAAAAATAACTGTACAGAATGACTTGTGACTTGACTTGATCGCAAAAATGATTTGTACTTGATCTGCATGACTTGCTAGTTGATGTGAATGACTTGTGACATGAGTTGTGACATGACTTGGATTCGCACTTGACTTAGACTTGCAAGAAAGACTTGTGACTTGGCTTGGACTTGCAAAATAAACAACGTCTCTGCTTTGTAATGTAAAGTTTCTAGAGACCACAGCCAGGTTTTCTATCTTCTTCAACAATAAACGGAACGGACTTAAAATTATTTTAACTAACTGCCATGGCTTTCGACTAAATTATTTGATTTGAAGTATGGTCGTGCAAACCTTTTAATTTCTTCAGAAGTTTAGTGAGAACAGCCTTCGCTTAAACCGTAGCACCCTGCTATTCTTGGGCATAACACTTGAGACCTGCATTCCTCGCATCATGGCAAAGTTAATGTACATTGACAACGCAAACTTTGTGACCCCTTCCCAGTTCCGGCAATGTTGTGAACAACCCCGAAACCCAATTTTGGTCATTTACCATGACACAATCTCAACATTGAGTTGGGTAGAACAGGGGTTAAGAAACGCAACAAGATTTCACATGGAATTTATCAAAAGGGGTATGCATGTGAACTTGGTAGTCTTAACATTATGTTACTCCCAACCTCTCGTGTGAGAAGTTTGTGAACTAGGAAATTTTGTTAAATTCAATTCAATGTATTACCAGAAACAAAAAAGTTTATCAAAAAAATGCTAAAAATGACAAAACCATGGGAAACTCAGTTCAATTAGAAACAATCCTGCCCACGCGGGGAGTGACGTTGGAAAAAACAAGAGAAAAATATACCGTTACTATATTCGGTACTAATAATTGTCAAGCTCTACGGCTACGCATATTAATGAGCTTCACTTCAGTCTTTGTGAGGCTTTTTCTTTGTGTTATATCGTTACGATAAAAAGTTTTTGTCTGTAGTCTTATTCGGCTTAGTGGTACTTAAAACTCCGCCATGCATACTCAAGTTTAATCGGTGTATACCAATATGGTTATAATATATTGTGGGAAATAGGAAATTGATTTGTGAGGAGTCTTAATGACTGTTCAAATAGTGAAGATTTTGCCTGTACTGTACTTTGTCTTTGACTCTAGGTGACAAAAGCTCAAATACTCAATGGCATGCACGCATGCATTACTGTGACTTTGTTGACAATTTTGCATTAAATTGATCGGGTTTTCCCAGTGAAAAGGTTATATAGTTTATATACACAGTATTTTTTTTATTATATTTACTATCCCATTTTTAACTGCATGGTCAACGAGCAATACTCAACTGGACTTTTTTTTATTAAAATTGTTTTCTTATATAATTTCTACCGCCATTTTGGCTTTTGTAACACTAATAACTGCTTTAGCCTTTAACTTCTATTTCATTTATCAGATGTGAGTGTTCAATTTTCATTTGAGGCATCTCATCCGAAAGCACTAATTGTTGTCTTGTTGAAGTCTGAAGAATTTTGTAGATGTAAATCTTATGTATTTATTAGATCTATTAAACCAGGAGAAGTTCGATTAACCCTGCCAGAGAGCCGCTAGTTGCCTTATAAATGTATAAGATTTACAAATAAAATGTTCTATTTTCAGCACACTGTACAATCTCGTACCCACAGCAATGCCTGTGCGCGGGCTAGGATGGCATTGGCTCTGGGGAAATTGACAACCGGAACCCCTAAATTTAGGGTTCGAGTTTATCAATTGATTCTTGTCGGCATGCACGATTGATAAACGTTAAACCAATCACAGCACAGGAAAAATTCAATTTCCCCAGAGCCAATGCCATCCTAGCCCGCGTACAGGCATTGCTCTGGGTACGAGATTGCACACTGTATAACTAAAAGTACACACGAGTGACCACAGATGACAATGAGTGATCACGAGTGATAATCAAAGGCCGTTGAGGCCGACTCACGGATAAGATCAAATGAAAGTGACAGAAAGAATTAGAGCAGTTTGCAGTTGTTTTTGCAAACTGGACACCGTGCGAATTTTGCCATTTCACTCATTTGTCGTGCTTCGTTTGCCAAATCAAAAGAACGAACGCGTGCTCCAGCCCGATTTCCGGTTCTGAAAGGCCCGATTCGCAGGCAAACAGTGCGCGCAAAGCATGCTGGTCATTTCTCAAAATTTAACTGCCTCACACTCACCCCACACTCAAGTAACCACAAAGACTCACAGATGTTGCTTCGCAACATCCGTGAGTCAAAAAGCCGTTTGGAAATAGCAGATTATTATGAGAGGCGAAAAACGTTTTGTTTTCGTGGTTTTCTCTCCGGGAATAACACTCGGCGTATAAAAATATAAACCCCATTCAGCATCCTTACGGAATTACTAACTACAAAATAATAATATCACAGTAAGTTTGTAAATATTTATATTTTTCACCATTTTAACTCTTTTTCTTACAACACAATAACAACTCATGCCAGTAAAGGATTTGATATGACAAAATAGGATTTGTTGTTAACATTGCAAAATCACGTAACTGGTGTGATACAGATTTGTACATTTCACATATACATTTCACTGAGTTGTTATTGTGATGTAAGAAAAAGAGTTGAGTTGCGAAAATATAGATATTTACAAACTTACTGTGATATTATTCTTTCGTAGTTAATAATTCCGTATCCGAAAGAATTTTCGCCTTTTATAACACTGTTTTCCGAAAGACTTTTTATCACTCGTGTGGTCACTCGTGCTCCATCCGTGGTCCATCTGTGGTCACTCGTAGTCAATCTGTGGTCACTCGTGGTCTATCTGTGGTTACTCGTGGTCCATCTGTGGTCACTCTTGATCCATCTGTGGTCACTCGTGGTCATTCGTGGTCACTCGTGGTCATTCGTGGTCACTCGTGTGTACTTTTAGTCAAGATCCACTGTATTATATACATGCATGAGTCATGGGTCATGACGTTTGCAAATTTCAAACTCATGCATGCAGACATGAAACTTTTTAATTGTCATTGACTTTGTCACTCATACATTGACATTGTCATTAATTAAATGTCATTTCAGGCAAGTCTAAGTTTTCCAATAAGTATACAGAAAGAGAATTGTATCTAAACAACGTACTAAAAACTATATTTAGAATTTAGGTTAAAACGGGGGTTTTCTTTCATGAAATGTCAAAGCCAAAATTAAGATCTCCGTTCGGAGATTCAGAAGACAGAAGTGTTTTCTGAGTAATAAAACGTTGAGAAGAATTTTTACTCATATACAGCATACAAGTTGATTATAACTAAACGCTTACATTACCATTATGTGTAGATACACAACAGTTCCCTCAAACATTTGTTTAAAGGCTAATTTCCACTGTTGCGTTTTCATATACGTACGTATACGCACGTAAAACTTTCAATCCGTTTAAATGTTGGCCTACTTATCGGAAATAACCAAACAAATAGAGCAACCAAATTTAGTGTTCCGCAAGTTTTAGTATGTATTTGTTAGGCTTATTCGTAAAATATTTAAAAAAAACGCAACAGTGGAAATCAGTAAAAACAAATTCTTCAAAACTTAAAATTTACCTATGCAAAATTCCTACTGTGACCACAGAAACTTTTATAGTGTAAACCAGCCTTACGTTTTTCTAAAAGCCAAATCAATAGAGCAAAGTCCACGGTTTAGCACGGGAAGTTTGTGCGGAAAGTTTTAACAATCTCACGGGAAATTAAAATCGACCAACAGAAAACATGGCGGGAGTTAATAAAAAATCCAGGATGTTTTGCTAGTGTAACGTTTATATTTTCCAAAATAGCACGGAAAATCGAAAACAATAGCAAAGCAATTTCCTTATGAGTTGTGGTTTTCATGAGTAGGAAATTTGATGATAATGCATGAGTGCATATATATTAATTTATAAATGAATGGTGATTGAAAATTGAAATTAACTAGATGTGTTTGGTACATATAAGGCTCTACCACGTCGCTACGAGCTGCGTGGCTGACATATATAGAGTCTATAGGGGTGTTTTTAACCAAATTATACAAAATTGTAACAATTTATTTGCTATAGTTTGAAATATTATATGTATACTGATTTGTCAAATCCCCACTATCCCCTTCTCCGGATATTTCATCCCATGCACCAGTAAACTCAAATTTGCAGAGTTTTCAACATTGTTTGGGAGAAGATTTCAATATTGTTTGGGAGACATTTCAACATTGTTTGAGAGAAGATTTCAACATTGTTTGGGGAGGTGTGGGGGTATGAATCATCAATCATAGCAGTACATGCAACCTGGATGAAAATGAGGCCATTTAGGTTTTGGTCTGGATTATAACTCGTGACAAGGTTTTTACTCCATATACAAATACATCAAACCAAATAAATATGACTATGTAAATATTTAATGGTGGGCAAACGTGCATTATTGCATGGAGCTTAGTAACAAGTTTAATTATATAGTTCAGTGTTATAATCTGGCCAAAATAGAATACTGAGCTATGTAATATCCCTGTATGA